CAAGGAGGCATGTGGAGCAGGGGGAGAATCTTACCAAGAGGGGCTTGAACCAGGTAGATGGGCTGGACTGGACTGGGTAGAGGAGTCCTGGCACCCTTCAGGGTTTTCTTTAACCAACTGGACTCAGAGCTTGAAGGGGTTTTAGAGGCTACCTAGGCAATCCTTTGCCCTTGCAGAGAAGGAAACTGAGGCCTAGAGAGGACACTCAATCAGTCATTGGCTATGTTGAGACCTGAACCCAGGCTCTCCCTTTGCACCATTTTTCTGTTGTCATGGTTCCTCACCACACCTCAGTGTGCTTCCTTCCCATACTGCAGCAAGGAGGACCACGAGCCAGACACACCTGGTCCATTTCCCGCTCTGCTTGTTTGTGCAGGGTCTCTGTAAATCCTAGCTTGGTTTGTTTACAAGTCTCTCCATGTGGAGAGAGTCTGTGTCCAGGCTGGAAGGAGGTCAGAGTTGGGTTTATTTGGGTGGCCTGTGGCCACTGGTGTGAATGGAGGTGCTGGATAGGTTCCAGCAGGCTCACAGGCTGGTGAGCTCTGGGGCTAGGAGATACCTTACAGAAGGGACGTCCAGACTCCCCAGAGCCCTTTGTGAGCCCTCCTCCTGCCCTGCTTAGGACCTGTGGGTCATAGGGGTTGTTTGCCAATCTCCCTAACAAAAGAAGGGAGCAGGGCTGAGAAGTAGGCAGATTACTACCAGCTTCTGATCACTAGTCAGAAGGGGGCCCCCCTGAGGTCAGTCCCCTGGCAGGGGGAGGCAGGGAAAGTTGGGGCAAGTTAGGGTGTGTATGGGGAGAAAACTCAACTAGAGAATTGTGGTCCCTCAGAATTCAGTCTGCTTTCTGTCTTCTGCCTCATCCTCTTCCCAAGGGCCACCATGTTGTACAGCAGCAGGGGAGCTATTCCATATACTATGATGTGAATGGCGCCCCCTGGGGTTGTTCAAGGCAGCATGCCTGTGTAGCCAAATGTGGTGCATCTGTCCCTGACCTTCTTCCTTCAAATTCAGACCCAGCTGGAAGGAAGTGTTCCAGATATGCCTTAATCTGACACCCTCTTCCCTACCCTACCTCATGCCACTCAACATCTGTTCCTCTGCTGCCCCCCGCAACCTACCAAGCAGGTCTTGGTGCACCACCATTTGTGGAACAGGAACCCCTCCCCTTCTCTTCACTTAGTTTCTGTGTCTCTAGGGGGCTGATTTATCATGCCCCCCATCACTATTGTGAGAAATCAATAGTGTAAATGGATTAAGGCTATTCAGCCTGTCAACTCCCTTTGGGCCCCACCAACTCTTCTGGGACTTGTGGAGTTGCTCAGTACCCTTCCAGCTCAGCATACACATATTTAGTGGTTGTAGCCAGAGCACTGAGCACAGGAATTACTTTTTCTGTTCGTGTCTTTCTCATTCTCGCTCATATACTGTGCTGGTCTTAGCATGACAAATACTCTTGAACATTTATTTTCTAGCTTGGGTGGAGGGGCTAAAGGGCAGTAGGCTGCCACCCAGAGGTGGGGAGGGAGGCCAGTGGGTGAGGGAGAGATGGCGGGTGGGGGGTGGGGCAGTCGTGGGGACTAGCTGGGGAAGGGATTGGGTGTCAGCCCACCCTATCACCTCACCTCTGGTAACTCAATCCCTGCACCCCACCCTCCTGATTTCCCTCCTGCTCAACAACTTCAGTAGCTGCTGGCAGAAGCAAGGCTGGCAGAAGTGTGTATGAGTGCATGTGTGTATGGGGGGAGAGGGTGAGAGGGGCTGTGGGGGCAGGGAGTGCTGCCAGGACATGTTAAAGGAGACTCACAGCCTGGGTACAACTTGGGTGGCAGGAGGAGGTGGGGCTGGTGGGAGAGTGGGTGGTGAGTGATAGGCAGGCTGTAGTGGGGGCAGGGCGGCCCAGGGGTCTCACAAAACTTGTTGGCACTGAAACAGGGCCTGGTGTGGTGGGGGTGGGCAGTGGTGAGGGGGTAGGGTCTGGCACAGCCATTGTTGGCCCCAGAATGCCAGGAGGCCTGTTCTTCACCAGGGGGCGCATGTAACCATGGAGGGACAGTCTGCCCCTGTCTCCAATCCCTGGGCTGTGCCTGCTGGGCATCACAGTCTCGGTGGTGACTAAGTCACTTCTGTCCTGGGGCTGGCAAGGTGCCAGGCTCCGCTCTTCTCGGTAGGTGAGTCATTGCCCTGGCATCTCCCCCGGATGAAGCTGAGTCACCCAGCCATGCCTGCTAGGCAGGTGGGCACCAAACTTGCGGTGGGGGTGGAGGGCTATGTGTGCAGCCCCCAGTGTCTTCTCTGCTCTTTCTCTGGCATGTCCTGGCCCCACCAGGCAAGGATGTCGCTTCTCCCTTGTGATCCATTGAGGAGTAAAGGAAGGGGTAGCAAGGCACAGAGTGGCATGATACATGTTTGATTGGAGTAAATAGGAGTAGGGAGAGTTGAGGAGGGAACATTGATTGTGCTTTATATATATATATGGATTTATTTTATATATATACATATACATGAATTTTATTTTAACAAAAAAGAGACAGGGTCTTGCTATGTTGCCCAGGCTGGTCTTAAACTCCTGGACTCAAGCAATTGTTCTACCGTAGCCTCCCAGAGTGCTAGGATTAAAGGTGTGTGCCACCATACCTGGCCTGGGTTTGAGTCCCAGCCCTGCCACTGACAAGCTGTATGACCTTGAGGAAGGCAATTTTCTTTTTGAGCCTCAGTTTTCTCATCTGTGCAATGGCAACAGGAGCCTGCCCCTTTAGGACCTGTGAGAATGAAATGGAGTGGGACTATTAAGGTACTTGTGGGAGGAACTCCTTTTGGGATGAGCAAGGAGGCTTGGGAAGGGAAGAGGAGTCAGCTGGAGCTGGTTCCAATAGAAAACTCCCACACCATCCTGCTGGTCTTGGAGGGCCAATTGCTTCTCATCCTCTCTTTAGACTATCACTTAATGCTGTTCTTCAGGAGTTCCCACAGGCTGTGAGAGGACAGCCTTGTTGTACTAGAAGTGTGGGCCCCCCAGGGTGTCTCAAAGCTATATATTTTTTATCTCTTTTTGACTACTGAGAACTGTCACCGTCCCTGCTACCTGTCCAGCCTCTCTTCCTTCTCTTCTTCTAGTTTGAAGAGGGATCCTTGTTTTGGGAAACCAGTGGCTCAGGCTCCTCCCCTAGCCTATCTCCCAGTGCACGGAACTGGTAGGCCCCAAGGAGCGTCCCTCATAAAGAGTGAGGTGCCCCTGAGCCTGTGACTTTTCTCTCTCTGCTAGTTTCCTGCTGCTTCTTGGGCACTCTTCTCTCCTCCTGCATCAGGGTCCCTGGTGAAAGGGGGTGGTGGAAGCCCTATTATGAGCCCAGCACAGCTGGAGTTCAGCTGGGGCTGCAGATTGAAGACTCCTGGTTCCCCACCTGGGGACCTCTCCTGCTTTCTGCAGTCAAGCTTGGGTAGAGCTGGACCTTGGACAGGTGGTACTGGTTGCCCTGGGCAGGAAGGAAATGCCCCAAAGATGTGCATTCTATGTGTTTGTACACATGGGTACTGGTCTTGTGTGAGTGACCCCTGTCGGGTGTGGGTTTGTGTGTATAAATTTCTTCCCTCATCCACACATGGGCCTACTTCTGTGTCTGTGCAGAAGTGTGCCCCTTCTGCTTCATACCCTCGTCTGGGCACAAATTGTGTTTGTATGTACTTGTTCATGCGTAGATGTGCATACATGTGTCTTGGGGTTGTACACAACCCTGTCCTGAATGTGCACGTGCATTTGTACCAGGATACCTAACCCCATGATGGCAGGTGTACCTGAAGGTCGTGCCACGTGGGAGGCAGTGTAGCATGCTGCATTCTTGTGTCCATGAGCCTTCCCCTCTAGCCTCAAGGAAGGAAGACCGGTAGAATCTAGGTTGGGAGGTGCCTGTGGCACTGGGGGTGGGCTGGCGCTGACTTCAGTCCTGGGCTGGTTCCTCACCTGGGCAGAGCTCCCAGCTGTTGGCAGGGCTCAGGCTGAAGGCCCTTGGGGGAACGCGGCTGTGGGGTAAGGGGTTAAGCGGTGGCGTCCACATCTGGGAGCCATTGGCGCATTCCTGCCGGCTGAGCGCATGTTTGCGGATGAATCTGGACAGGACGGGGCGGGAGGGGCTGGGCGCGAGGTTCGCACCGGCGGACAGAAATCCAGACGGGAGCGGGAGACAGCTCCGGCCCAGCGGCTGGAAGGGGCCTGAGGAAGCGCGGTCGGTCCGGCTGCCGGGGCAGTTCCCCGTGCGCCAGCCCTCGGGGCAGAGCATCCCGCCATCCTGGCTTGTCCTACCTTACTATGGCTCTTGGGCTGGAGCCAGGGACAGACAATCAGATACTTCAATTCTAGACCCGGTTCTGCAACCCGTGCGACTGTGGACAAAACGTTGTGCCTGCTCTTGGCCTCTCTTTCCTGTAAAGCGGGGCCGTCGGACCAGTGGGTCTGAGAGCTCTGTCACCGGGTCAGGCTGAGAGTCTTCTCACTGGGCTGGAGGCCTGGGAGTGCAGCACTTCCCCTTCCAGTGGGAAGTCCTGTGGGGGTACTTGTGGCCACTTCTCTGCCTGGGAACAGGGCGAGAGGGGAGTATTCCCTAAGCGACTTTGCTTTCCCCTAAGCCCGCCAGTGGACTGCTAGCGATGGGGACAGGATCCTCCCAAACAGAGCAGCAGGCTGGGAGGAGGGTCATGGCTGTGTTGGAGACTGGGGTCTCTCAGATGGATGGCGATTCAGATCCTGGCCAGCTGGAATATGAACAAGAGCGTTCCTGGCTTCTCCAGACTTGCTCGGGAGAAAGAAGCTTGAGTCTGTCTTTGAGCACGGAGGGGTGCTCCTGGGCGCCCCTACTGGAAGATCCAAAAGTCTTCGCCCTTTGAGGAGAAGTGTACCTTAAGCGGGGTGGAGGGGTTGGGTTGGGCCAGAGTTCCTAGTACCCACTGGAGCTGGAGAGTTATTTGGGGAAAGAAATGTACTTGCGGGAGATCTACTCCTGGACTTTTTTTTTTTTTTTTTTTTTTTTTTTTTTCAGCTGAGATAATTAAGATCCAGGGAAGGGAAGTGACTTGGTCAAGGTCACACAGCTCTCAGTTCCAGCTGGTCCCTAGAAGAGGATTATAATTATAGGATTCAGGGGCTTGACAGCTAGGGCAGGAGTCACCGCACTCACTTCCATGTTCTGCCGCCGCCTCTCTTCTCGGGTTTAGGTGTGGGAGTATGTGTGGTCGCGGGGGAAAGGAGTGTAGGATACCACACGCTGCGGTCTTCACCGAGTGCTATTTTCATTCTTTCCGCAGAACATCACCCCCTCCTCGCTCTGAATTTTCGGTTCGGGTTTGAGGGAGGGATTCTCCCAGATTCCCACGGTCCAGCCTTCTGCTAGGAGCGGCTCCTTTAAGACTCGCCCTTCCCGGGGTCTGTTAAGGAGAGGTGGGGGCGGGGGTGATCCTGTAGATCCGCCCCTGACTGATGATTGGTCGGTGGGCGGGCAGGGGCGGGCCTGAGGGAGAGGGCCTTCCCCCACCTCTCGTCCGTACCCTCCGCCCCTATAGTCTGGGGCTCCGGGTAAAGTTTCAGCCTCCGCACGTGACTCGCTATGGCCGCTGCCGTCGCCCCGCGCCCCTGAGACGCGGCCCCCCAGACGGCTCCTCTCCCGGGACCCCGCACTCTAATGCCGAACAGCACCAGGGCGCCGGGTTAGGGCAGACGTTGTGCTCGCGGGTACCCCGAACGGGTTGCGTCCCCTGGCTGCGAGGTAACCCTTTCCCCGGGGATTTTGGGGAGCCCCTGGTTCCCGCAGGCGTCGGGGCCCCATGTCCTGCCCAGATAAGCGCTACGGGAGGGGACTGGGTGCCGGGAGGCTTCTGACGGGAACCCGGGGTTTCCTGGGTTTCCCAACTCGCTGCCGCCGTGTCCAGGGTGGGGGAGCCCCGTCTGTGCGTCTGCCTGCGCCGTGTCTTCGCGCGCAGCCTTGAGGCGTCTGGGGCCGTCTGCTGCGTGTGTCCCCAGCGCTCGAGCCCTTGCAGAACTGCCGCTGGGAACTCCTGCTCTCTTTCTCTTCAAAAACAAGCACAACAAAAAGACTTTCAAACCTGTTTGGGGAGAGATCGGATGCTCAACGGACTAGCCTCCTCCCTTTTTCCCTCCTGTTATCTGAGCTGCCCTGTGGTTTGGGGAGAATCAGCCAGGGGGCCCACCCCACCATAGGGAGCCGGCCAGGGGCGGGGCCCACTCAGCTGGTGTTCCCCGTGGAGTGAGGGGAGCTGTCAGAACTGGGTGCAGGAGCCAATGCAGTATGTATGTAGGGGTGTCCCTGGGGTCTTGTGCGACCATGGGGTGTGGGAGCTTTTTGGGTTGAGGGGAAGACAGAATAGATGGGTCGACTTTGCTCTGCTGAGGGTGTCTGGGACCTGGTGCCACCCACGAGGCTTGGAAGCTGCTGGCCAGATGTGTGTGTGCTCGCCGGTTGTGGGGAGGGGGCGGCTGGGAAATGAGCTTGGCTGTGTCCCCTCTTCTCCCCTCTGGGCACTGCCCTATTGTCAGGCTGCTCCTTGTGAAGGACAGGCCTCCAGTGTGCTAGGGTAGGGATGGGGACCAACTAATCCAGAAACCAGACAGGATAGCTCCTCAGCCTTGGAGATGTTTCTGCACCCTCCATCCTGTCTTGGATAGGATACCCAATGTGATGGCCTGGAAGGGTACCTCCTCCCCACTCTGACTCTGTCTTCTATAACCAGGTTGCCTTCTGTCTGCTGGCTGTGTGTACATATGTATATATTCTTGGAAAGGATTGTTTCTGAAAACACCCCCCACCCCCCACCCCCTGCTGCTTAATTCCAAGGATCACTTCTGCCTCTGACACTCCCCCTCCTCAGTTTCCTGGCCAGGACATTCCAGGTTGTCTCTTATACCCTTCCCTGGCTGCAGTCTTCATAGGGCAAGATTGTTTTGGGAGAAGTGGTTCTGTAAGGACCTCTCAGGTCTTGCTAGGAAATTGGACCTCAGGCCCCAAAGTCTCCTACAGGGCTTGATGAGGAGGCTGTGTCAGGGAAGCCCCAGGTTGGAGTGGGGGTGGCTTGGAGCCTTGGGGCTTCCCCTGGGGGGTGGGTGGGGATGAGGCTGGGGTAAGGAACAAGAGAAAAAATATTTGGAGTTGGTTATGTGATGCTTCTTCCTGGAGGAAGAAGAGGGGGTGGTTATGGAGTCAGGGAGTTTGTGGCTGTGAAAGATGGTATGCTGGGAGGAGCTGGGACATCAGTACTGCCTGGGAGTCTGGGTCATGTGGTGTCCTGAAAGAGAAGTCAGTAGGGTCAGACTGGCATAGGCTCTTGGGAGCCGAGGATCTTGGATTTGCAGGGATTTTGAGGGTGTGAGTGAGTGTACATGAGGTGTCACTGCAGGGGTTTCGCCATCAGACTGGCGATAGTGGCACAGATGCAATGGCAGTTCTGAGAAGATCCTGGGCTTGGAATGGCTTAATCCTGGCCACCTCCTCCTTCCTATAGCCCCTAAATCTCTATCCCTTCAGTCTGACCCTAAATGCTCCAGCTGCCACCCTGGTACACCTTTTTAGTTTCCTTCCTACTCCCAACTTTGAGGCAGCCTGGCAGGAAGCTAGCTGTGAGCAGCCCCATCCTGATCGCCCATGTGCCTCCCCCACTGGGCATAGTCACCCACACGTGCCATGACGTGGTTCCTGCCACCCCATCTAAATATGGGGGAGAGGACATTGAGCTCTGAGTTGCCTCTCGAGTCTGTTTTGGGGACATTCACCCAGACCCCTGCTAATGATTTCCCCTTCCCCTAACCCGTTTAGTCTTGGAAGCTGACTGTGCCCTCTGGGACCTTTCTTCCCAGTCCACTCCTTGCTCAGACTCCAGTCTCAGGTGGGATGGTCCTTAGAGCCATGTGATGTGAGGATGGGGCCTGCCCCAAAATACAAACCCCAATGCCTAGTTTCTAATCCTCTTGGAAGCATGAGCAGGACAGGACTTAGGCTGGGCTGGAGGGGTAGCTATGTTTTTGCCTCTGTGGGATCTATTAATATTTGGGTGCCCTGCCTGGGATCTGAGGTGATGGGCATCTGGGGATGGTAATCCTGTCCCTGTGACAAATAAGCAGGGTAATCTCCATTTGCTCAGCACCCCACACCCATCTTGTGTCAGTAGTTTTGGGAGTGTGGGAAGCTGGCAGGGCCCCTGGCAAGATGACCAGGGTTGTCTTGACTTACTATGTTTTGGGAAAGGAGTATGGCAACTGATACTCCAGCTCCCAAGGCTTTGGCGGGACATTCTCTCTGACGCCTGCTGTCTTTCCTTCCTCTACTCCCCACTCCACCCTCTGGCTGCTGTCTGGAGCCCACACGGTTTGTAGGGGGATGCATGGTGGGGGGCAGGGCCTGGATCTTCGTGTGTGTCCGGGGAGTATTCTGGGAATTGGCAGGGTTGGCTGAGGTTGTCTGGGTGTCCCCGCAGGGTGGGCGGCGTGTGGGGACCTGGCCTAGTGTGAGAATGTGCCAGTGTTGGTGTGTCTGTCCCCAGTCTGGCTCGGGTGTGGGTGTCTCGGGTGTGGGTGTCTCTTGCTTCGTCTGGATCTTGCCTCCCGCTCCAGTCCCGCCCTCCCCTTGCTCCCCCCTAGCTAGGACCGCCTGCTTGCTCTCCCTCTCTCCCCACAACTGGAGCCTCCCTTGCCTGTTCCTGGAATTTGGAGAGGAGGAGGAGGAAGAGGCAGGCAGACAGACCTCCCACACTCTAGCCCGCCCACCTGGCATCATGGGGAAATGAAATAGGTGCTATGGAACTAAGTTTTCCCTGGCTTCCCTAGACCCTTCAGCACACATCATGTGGGCCAGGGGCCAGCTCTTACAGAAGGGCCATGGGCTGCCCACCCCTCTGGGCAGTGACACCTCCTTCTACTTAACATCCTGCCACAAAGGGCCCCTGCTGGACCTCCAGGCACCACAGTCAGCCTGTGGAGCTGGTGGGGGGATTAGGCTGCTGCCAGGCTGGCCTGCACCTGTTGCCAACCCCAGCCCTATAACTGGAGCTTGCTAGGGAGGGGGCTGCAGAATGACAGGTGTAATTTCTGCAGCTAGGCAACTCCACCCCCACCCCCAACTGGATATGCCTTTCCCTTTTTGCCGGAACAAGGAAAGCCTTCCCCTTCGCCAGCCAAGTGTCAATCTGATCTCATGGATGATGCCCCTGTCCTGCCTGATGACCCCCACCCCTATCCCTGGCTGCAGAGCTGGGCTGCCCTCCTTCAAGGTTTCAGAGCTCTGCTGCCCTGGTAGGGCTGGGGGTATGGGGGTGTGTGGATAGGGGTGGTTCTCTGTTAATGTTTTAATTGCCTAAAAACTGGGAGCTCAGCTCTGGGCCAGTGGGGAGTCTGGGTCTGGCTGGCCGCCCGGTTTGGGCTAAATATAGTCTGGGACATCTGCAGAGAAGGGGAGGGGGGTGGAGGGAGGTTCCATTCCCCCACCTCCAGCCAAGGTGCCCTCGTCTGGGCGGGCACCTTGGAGCAGTGAGGGGGATTCCTTAGCACAAAAGGCAGGGGAGAGGTGTCAGGGGAGAGGCAGCAGGGGCTGGGCACAGTTGGGACCTTGCTTTCTGGAGGCCAGTAGATGCCTGAGATGAACCCGGAGGCTCAGGACAGGGCAAGAGTGGGGCACACCAGGGCTGGGTCCTCTGGCTGTTCCCTCTCCCCCCAGAGTTACTGAGGTCAGGAAGTCTTCATGTGTCACTGCAACCTGCAGGCAGTGTCACCATGACCCACTCTCTGTGTGTCTGTATGTACACACCTACCTTGGAGTGGCTTTATCCTGGCCCTCCCACTGAAGCCTCTGTCCCCTGGGTCCTACCGCAGGTCCTCAGCTCTCCTTCTCTGTCCCTCGCCCCACAGTGAAACCTTCAGCCCAGGAATCGAGACTTGAGAAGGGGAAGCTGCGGTGGAGAGTTCTCTGATCTCCAGTCACGGCAGGAAGTGGAGAAGAGGGGGGGTTAAGGGGGGGACCCATGAGTGGCAGGCAGAGAGGGAGAGCCCTGTCAGTCCCGCGACCCACTGTGTAGAGCAAGGAGGGGTTGGCCCCCTTCCTAGTGGTCCCCCTTCCCTCCAACTCCAGGTAGGAGAAACCTGGGGGACAGCTGATTCCCCAGGGGCTGCAAACAATCTTCATCACCCCCCACAACACTAAGAAAAAAAATGTCTTCCTGTCACGTGGCTGTCACTTCCTGTCCCACTGTGGTTCCTGGGATGTTTGTTGTTGGTTGCCATGGTTATATCTGCCGTGGGCACTACCGCTGCTTCTTGTGGGGAAGGAGCTACCCCTCCCCACCAGGCTGCAGGGGTACTTGGGGAACTTGACTAGGGGATCCTTTCAGGCTGCATGTGTGTGGTCTCTGATGCCCCAGATTCTCCAAGACCCCCCAGACGTCTGTCTGTGGGGAGGAGTCACAGCCACCTACTCAGACTGAGCGCTGGGGAGACTGTGACTGCATCTGGCTGTGCCTCACTGTGGCTGTGACTGTGTGAGTCTGACTGATTTTGCAGCCCTTGTCCCCTCTAACCGGGGTTCTTCTCGCTCATGGAGATGCCCATTCAGGGAACCTCTGTGCTCCCTATCTATCCTCATATATGGTTCTGAAGCCTGCTCCCATCCTGTGTTCTGATGGAAACCACGTTCCCCAGGGAGTGCCTGTGGCTTCCTGGGATCCAGGCTGCAGTGTCGAGGAGCTCTGGGGCAGGGTCCCAGGTTGCGTGTGTTTGGGGCTGGGGAGGTGGAGGCTCTGCAGACCATGCCTTTCCTTACACACACAGCCTGCACCCGCTTCTCCCTTGTCCAGCAGGCCCTCTTCTCTAAGGGGAAGGCCATGGGGCTCTGTGACCTATTATCTCTACCCCCTTGTAGGCTTCCCTGTTCAGCTGGGGACGGAGAGGGGAAGAGATTCCCCCTAGTTCTTGCCCCAACTGAGTAGGCGGGTGTGGAGTAGGAAGTTGCGGGGGGGTCAGTGGGTGGAGGGGGGCATGGGGCAGGGCACAGTCTGACTCAGGCCTGGTCTGGGGTCAGAGCCAAAAGGATATCCTGAGGCAGGACTTGGGGGGGTTGTATTCCTGGATTCCCTGCAGTGTGGGTCCCCAGGGTGGGATGCTGGGAGGGGGCTGGTACCATCTAGTCCTGCTGGCAGTTTGCCCTAGGACTTAGAATATGGCAGTCACAGGGTTGGGCTGAGCTGAGGAGAGGGGTGGGGGTTGCTGCAGCCTGTCTCCCCACCCTGGCCCTGCCTGTTTCTCTGTGAGCTGTTCCTGCATTGTGAGAGAGCTGTGCTTCCTGCTTGGTAGCGTGGAGGGGAGGTAGTGGTGAGGGGGACAGCTGCCAAGGTGAGGGCGGGGAAAGCCCCGTGCCAGGCTGGATATGAGGTCGGTGGTTTCCAAGCTAGGGGGTCCCCTTTTGTCTGTGCCCCTTTGGTCTCTCACCCAACAGAACTGCCTGTGTATGGTCCACACATTTCTGTGGTCTGGCTGTGGCCTCAGTAGGCTCATCTCTTCCTCTTCCCATTTTTGTTTTTTTTTTCCTTCCCTGTGGGTTGGTCCCTCTCCTTGAGGCCTGAATTACCCCCTGCCCTTTGACCTACTCGCTGCTTGGAGTAGGGAGGCTTCAGTTCTGGTTCTAGGTGGACCTCTCAGCCACCCTGGGCTTTAGAAGTCCTAAGCATGTCCCCTGGAGGATCTGGAGTATGGCCCCTGGGGATGGAGGAGTTGGGAGCACAGCCGTGACCAGCAGAGACCCCCACTTCCTCCTCCTAGAACCTGGACTGCCCTGAGCTTGGGTTGTCCATTCGCCCTTTCTGCTTGGTATCCAGTCACTGCTGAGATTATGGCGTGTGGGGGTCCTGCAGCTCTGCGTAGCTGGGGAAGAACCCTGGGCTGAGTGGAACACAGGTTGTGGAGGACACTGAACCTGTTCTTTTGGGACAAGTCACTGTGTCCTGAGGCAGTGGGCAGTAGTAGCAACGGGAGGTGAGACACTAGACTTTCTCCTTCTCCTAGCTCCCAGGAGGACATGCTTATGGCTGCGCCGACTAGGGCAGGTTTTCAAACCAGTCCTAGTTCTAGCAAGGCTAGCCCCAGGTTCTGTGGGGTTCGTGGGGAAGAGGTACCCTACAGCTATCTCAGCTACCCCCAGATGATCCTTCTCAAGCCCTCCTAGGGTAGCCTCTTTTAAAATGAGGCTGCGCTAACCTGGCTTCCTGCAGCCCAGACCCTGGTGAACAGACAGGAAACAGAGGATCCAAGTGGCTGGGTTGCTGGCTTGCCAGGGAGGAGAGGAGTGCGAGCCTAGGCCAGAGGGGACCCTTGAACAAGTGGGGAGTAGTCACGGCTGCTCCCCAACCCCTGTCTGCAGATATGAGGAGTGTGGGGGAGGGGAGAGGTTGTCTCTTTGTACAAACGGGAGTGTGTTTTCCTAGAAAGTGTGGAAATGGTTCTAGTTTAGAATCTAGCCTGTTCTGCCTTGCTTGGCCAGCTCCTGGCAGGATAGGGGTCCAAAGGCGGCAGGGCTTTGTTTCTGCCAAGGCTAGAGTCCCTCCTGCCCAAGTTCAGCTTGAGCTCTAGGTGTCATTTGCATATGATTCACTAACTGTCTAGAATGCTTAGGAAACCCCCAGTCTCCCCTTCTTTTAAGCTCCCCAATCCTTTTCCCCTTCTCTCAGCCCCTCTGAGACTGCCTGACTTCTATTTCTTGGGAACCATTGTTTCCGGGGAGCCAGGAGAGCAGAGAGAACTGAATGAGGAAGGGAGGCTGGGCCCAGGCCAGGCTGAGTTTGGGGTCCCCTGCTCCTCTCTCCTGAGTACAGGAGAGGAAATGGTCTATTTCTCTTCCCCTTCTCCCCTCCCCAAATCCAAAGGTTTCCCTTTTTTGGTTTGTGAAATGAAAGAAGGGAATTTGGGAAAGGGTTGTGGTCAGGCCTCCACCCACACCCTGAATATCCCTTTCCCCACATCCCTCTCCTCCGTCTGAGGGGAAGCAGACCCTGGGAAATGGGTAATTCTCCCTCCTGGCCCTGTCAACAGATGTTGCCCTGGGTGGGGTGAGGCAAGGGAAAGCAGGGTGACTGCTGAGGTGCACCAAGGTGCTGGCAAGAGGTGTGGGGATGGAGGGCTGCAGTTGCCCGGCGCCTCCCCTGTGCCAGGCTCTGGGCTGGGTGCTTTCCAGGACTTCCTGTCTGAAATCACACAACCCATTGTTGAGGTAGGCAGTTCACAGGTGAGTAAACAGATGCTTAGAGAGGTTAAGTGACTTGTGTAAGGTCACCCAGAGTGGCAGAGCTGAGATTTGACCCTTCCAGCATTTGGTTGTTTCTCGTATCTTCATGGCTCAGAAAGCTCTCACCTTTTTCTCTAGGTGTGTGACTCTGCAGTATAACGCATGGGCACTAGGGACACTGATGCTGGGGAAGGGATCCTAGCACCTTCTGAGGGTAAAAGCGGCCCCAGTGAGCAGGGCTGTGGGGTTGGTTGCAGGAGCTCCAGCCCCCTACCCCTTTAACTGCTGTGCTTAGGCTAGGCTTGGTATACTGGAGGTGTGGGCCTGTGGCTTTCTCTCTCTCAGGGGAGGGTGCCCATGGGCAGTGGAGGTGGCTGGCGTAGGGCGGAGGTTGGATGTGGGTAGTTTGTTTTCCCTCTATTTGGTACTGGTTTCGATTCTCTGCTGGGGCCTTCTCCACCCCTGGGATGTAGGAGGCTGAGGCCCAGGCATCTCTCTGGGGGTCATAGCTCCTGAAGGACCTTCTGAGGCAGAGCCTGTGCTTCTTTCAGGCCCACCCTGGTCATCCCTGCCCTTGCCCATCACTGTTCTCTGGTCTGTCTGGCCCTTGGCCCATTTTTGTGACCTTTAACCCCTCCTGCGGCTCAAGGCCCTCCCCAGGGAGCTGAGTAAATTTGCACTGAAGTTTGCAGGCAGAGATAGGTTAGGCTTTTTGGACGCTCTGATAGGGGTTTGAGGAGGCTTCCAGCCTTGCCCTGTAGTGTGTGTGGGTGGTGGGCTGGGGGATGAGGCTGGAGTAGTGGGGATTGAAGTTTGGTTCAGTTTTAAACTCCTCAGGGGCAGAGTTGAGGTGGCTGTGGTTCTCTCTTCTCTGGGATCACGGGTGGGTTCCAGAGGGTCCAGGCTGGACTGACTGAACTGGCCTCCCATACCCTAAAGGCTGGGTCAGGATGCCTGGGGTCTGCAGTGATGGCTTTCGGGGCCTCAGCCTGGATTATGGATGCCTCACTTTGGGTCAGCTGCCCCTTGGGCCTCACCTTGAGAGAGGCAGGCCTCTGTGTGGGTGTGAATTCACCTGAGTACTTGTGGACCTGGGGCATGGGCTGGGCCCACAGGGAGGACCTCAGAGCATCTTCTGGCAGAAGTAGCAGGTATAAGGGCCAGCCTGGCTGTGTGAGGACTGGAGAATGTACAGTTTTGGAGACTGTGGGGCTGTGGTTGTGTCTTTGGGGAGCTGTGTACTGGGGCCTATGCATGCAGTTTCTAAGCTGTGTTCATTGTGTGGTGGAGCCCAGGTGTGGAGAGATGGTATCTCCAGGCTCCCTCTCCTCACATGCATGCCTGCACACACACAGGCTGGGGCTGCAGATGTGCTCTTGCCCACCCAGATGTTTTCTCTAGACCTGCATGCATGAGTTTCTGCAAGCGTGTGGTGTGTATTTGTGTGTGAGGGTCCAACTGTAGGAACAATGAGGTTCTGCCAGCCCCTTCTTCCTTTGCATGGCTCCCCCAGCTCCAGTTACCATTGTGTAGGGCCCCACAGGAGTGTGTGTGTGGGGGGGTGCAGGGCCAGGGTGGCAGCTGTTCCAGTGGGTGGGGCCCTGTTCCTCTGACATCAGCCCTCAG